ACGACTGCAACAGGCACTCTTTCCCAAGTGTCAGAGCATCTCTGCAATCTTTCCCTGAGTAGCCGGCGAGGGTCTGTGTCCCGGAGGCAAGCGACGGGACAGCCTCTGTCACTACCGTCCTCGGCATCTCCACAGTGGGACACTTACCAGGCCCTTGGTGGTTTTCTTTCCAGCAGCAATGGACAGCACCCAGAGATAAAGAGCTGATCAAAAAGAGTCCACTCCGAGCTGGCCTATACCTCCCTCTGGTCCTTACACAATTCCCAAGGGCCCCGCACTGTCCGGTCAGTGCCACCCACCCCAGTAGTCGGTCCCCACTCGGCACCTGGAGAGGGCCACACGGGTTTCCCAGGGAGGAGGTGCGAGTATCTGCAGTCTCCTGAGGTTGGAGGAGAGGGACCACTCCTGATGCCCACAGGTGGCAGCGCATTCCAGTCACAAGTGGAAACCGCACTTCACATGGAATAAAAGGGGCCACTGTAACCCCAGGGCACAGTGTTGCCAATCCAGTGAGCATCGGGGCCCCCTGGAGGGTAAGGAACTTCCTCTGAGGAGACGCAGCTTCTTGGAGGAAAGGAATTTCCCAGGGTCACAACCCCTTTATTTTACCACACCTTCAAAGCTCCAAGTGGGGAAGGCTCCAAGGATGGGTCTACACATCAAGATTTTCCCCAATGTAATGCACAACACTGTTACTAGTTTTTAAAAATAGGTGTTCATGTATTTAATACATAGACAAAAGCCATGCATTTTCCCTTCCTACAGTCATTCCACTTTCCCAGTTCCTGAGGTTCTAAATTTTGTTCAGGACAATATAGGACACATTAAGATCCATAAACTTCATTTTTCCAGACCCTTGTCCTGTCCCCCAGGCTTGTGTTGTGATCTTAGGCCCACTCACCCGGAGGACCTGGGGCTCCCCCTTCAGGAAGGGCAGCAGAGTCTTCTGCAGCTCACCTAGGTGCGGGACCTTCTCACTCCCTGGTAAGCTCACGGTCAGTCCCTGGGATGTGTCCGCCCCTAGTGTCCAGCCGTTGCTGTAGAGAACAGGGAAGAAAGTTTTGCTCCATATAAATCCATTATTAAATGTCTTCCATGTTCAGGGTTATCACCTAGCCACAAAAGAGTTGAGTTTCTGGGATTGGATCATGTTTAATTTCTCCCTGCTTTGATTATAGTAGGCTGGGATTTTCCTCTATCCTCATTTCCAGGCCTTCAACATAGTCCAGGCAGGTATATCTTGAACGGTTTCACCTCCTCCCATCAATGTGCACACAGCGTTACTGATCCTGAAGCCAGCAGTCTCCTCCTCTCAGGAATGGGAGCTTTCGCCTTAGAGTCCAGAAGAAAAGGGTGTTGCTCAGCTGCAGCAAGCTTCTGGGCAAACAATTTTCCATTTCTCAGTTTCCCCAGCTCATTTTACGCCCCCACCAGAGGTCAGCGCCCCCGCCCCCCCGCAGCTGGTCTCCGTCGTGGGGACAAAGTGAGGATTTGCAGGAGCAGAGGGCTCTCCCTACCTGAACATCTCCCCAGAGTCCTCTTTGCCCCGTGGACGCTGACCCCCAGTCCTCAGCGCGAGCGGCCTCTGATGTGGGTTGTGTGACACCAGCACTGCCGGAGCCCCGTACCAGCCTGTCTCCTATGACTCCTGGTGTTCAGCTCATTGCCACGCTCCTCTGGACCTGCCGTGCATGTGCTGTGGCCCATAACTGGATGCTCCCCCCAAGCCGCATGCTCAGAGCTGGGGCTTTTGAAAGGAGATTGGACTACAGAGGCTTAGGAGGATTTGCTGTCAGAAAGCAGGGCCTGGTGAAAGAGGTGGGTCCCTGGGAGGTGACTTGGAAGGATTTCTTTGTTCCCGCTACTCCACTGCCACTCCACATCCAGGCCACCACACCATGAGCAGCTCTGCCCTGCCACACCCCTCTGCTGTGCCATCCTGCCTTGGAGCCAGCGGACTACGGACTAAAATGTGAGCCACCCTTAAACTGTGGGTGTTGTTTTTCCCAGCAGGGGAGGTGGTGACTAAGACCATCCTCCGTAGTCAGAAGCAGTGCTGTGTGGAATATCCTGACAGCAGAATAGGACATCTGTAGGCCACTGGTGGCAGTTTGGCAGCAGAGAAGCCTCGGGCCTGGCCTACGGGTGGATCTGCGCATTATGCCAGCAACAGCAGAAAGTGGACAGTAGCAGCACTACCGCCCCTTGCAAGGACGCCCAGAAGGACAGTGGAGAAGGGAGATCTTCACAGTAGGCAGAGCTTCAGGTAATGCCCTGCTCATACATTTTGCTTGGAAGAAAAAATGGCAAATGTGACTATATACCAATTTGTGGGCTAGAAGTGACAAAAATGGGCAAGAGAAGGTGACAGACATTGAAGGGTAACTATGTGAGAAAAATACAGAGTTCAGAACAAAGGAGGAAGGAGGGCAGATATCTGTACCTTGTGTTCATGAGAATAGTCACATTTATCCTCCCTAATCAAGTGATGAATGTCATTATATTGTATACCTAAAATGTACCAATAAAGGTAATTTTAAAAAAAGAAAATGTAGCATTTATACCCAATGGATTACTATGCTAATATAAAGAAGGATAAACTAGAGGCATTTGTAGGTAAATGGATGCAACTTGAGAACATAACGTAAAGTGAAGTAAGTCATACACACAAGCTTAAATATCCAGTTTCTCTTACATGAGAAATTTGGCCTGGGATTTAACTCATTGGTTCCATGCCTGCCTCAAAAGTGCAAAGGCCTGAGTTCGATCCCCAGAAAAACAACAACAACAAACAAAAAAGATTTACATGAGAAATACAATATTATATATGTATACACACACATACACACACAAATGAAGAGCAAAGAAGGAGATATATATACAAGTATATATAAGTATACACACACACACAAATCAAGAGCAAAAGAAAAGATAAATGAACAGGAAGTAGGGAGAAGTTCAAATTATTTTCCAAATTACCTATTTCATTGTTTCAAAAATATTGTAATTATGTAATTTGTTTCATTTATGCTTCTAATTTCTCTCATTGGAAAGAACACCGTGTGCTAGTATCTGTTTCTTCTTTGTAAGCAAGTCTTTATTATCTGTCTTGCACTCCGAGTAACTGCTTTTAAGATTATGATAGTGTATTAACAATGGATATCTTTTATTATTTTGTTATGAAATTTCATTTTATTTTTTGATAAAACAAATATATAATAAAGAATAATTCTGATTCCTCCTTCCTCACAGCAACTTTCTCATTCTCTAGGGATTTAAAATCTTTACTGGAATATTGAAGATTATTGTAATGTTAGCAGTATCTAACTTATTTTATTCTGATCTTCCTGAGTATATTGGCAAATCTGTATATTTCTATTTCTTCCTTCTGGAACCAATTGTTTTAAGTAAATTTGAGCCAACTTGAGTTCTCTACTAATTTAAACATGGATATAATATTAAGTAGTTATTTTTGTTTATTATCCATGGGCCCAGAGTTGGGGGGAAGTATTGAGAACATTTGATGTAGAAAAAGAAGATTGGAGATGGTACTTTTCAGAACTAGCCCACTCACATCTCCAGAGCGCATAGGCTGGCTACTCACATTCTACTCTCTGTTTATGTGTTTTTCAGTTTTCAATACTCCACATTTAAGTGAGATCATGCAGTATTTATGTCTGACTTATTTCACTCAGCACAATTTTCTACAGATTCATCCATGTTGTCACAAAAGGTAGCATTTCCCTTTTCAGTGCTAAATAATTTTCCAGTGTATATAAACACCCATATCTATTTCTCCATTCCTTCATATTGGCCATTTAGGTGGTTTGTGCATCTTGAGCATTGTCAATGATCTTACATCAGACAAGAATGAAGATATTCATAGCACGTAGTGATTTCTGTATATGTCCCACTGAAGAGGAACTGCTGAGCAATATGATAGTTCTATTTACTTTTTTTATGAATTGTTTTCCAGAAAAGCTGAAAAAAAGCTACTTATTTTGATGTAGTCCCATTTATTTATTCTTGATTCTGTTGCCAGATCCTTATAAGTGGCATCTAACAATCAACTCCACACCCATCATCAATGGGATTCCCGGTATGTTCACGTCTAGGAGTTTTGTGTTTGTAGGTATTATGTGCAGGTCATTAATCCCTGTTGTGCTGATTTGTGTGTGTGATATGAATTGAATTTCACCACGACCAAGTGGGATTTCTTCATTTGAAGCAAAGTTTCTTAACATGTACGAATCAGTCCATGGAGTGCACATTGGCACAATGAAAGGTAAACAAATAATCATCTCAATAGATTCACAAAAAGCATTTGAAAAAGTTTAACATTCTTTCACGGTAAGTACTCATAATGAATCAGGTAAACAAGGACTGTTCTCCTCTTTACAATGCTATATATTAAAAACCCATAGTTAGTCATACTTGATGGAAGGACTAAAAAACAATTGGTACCATTTTTTCCAAGGATAGAGCCATTATGACCACTTTTATTCAACATACTCAGGTGGAAACAGGTAGTGCAAACAGATGGAAAAGAGAAAGGAGAAGAGGGCATTGAAACCAGAAAGGAAGGAGTAAAATCACTCTCCATTGTAAATCATATGATCATATGTATGGAAAAAAGACCAAAAGGATCTGCAAAATCCTTTCAAAATTAACTGAATAAATTAAATTAATGGAATTGAATTCAAAGTTAATTGAAATTAAATTCAAAATTAATTGAATTCAAGATTAATTGAATGAATTAATT